TTTTTTGCAGTTGCAGAAAACCATTGCTGATGGTGGCCAACCAGCTACCAAAAAGGCAAAAATGTCCAACCAGAACATTGAGGGTGCATTTACAAGTACTACAAAGTACAAGAGTGATGCCAAAGAACAACAAATTAAAGAAGAGGCTATCGCTACATGGATTGGATGTACAGGATTGCCGGTCACAACAGTAGAAGATGAGGATTTTATTCTGATGATGGAAAGTTTGGATAAGAAGTTTACTGTGCCAAAGAAAACCAAGATAAGTAATCTAATTGAAAAACACTATGAAAAAAAAGCTACATTTAAGGAAAGACTTTTTCTGTGTTGAACAACAAAAACCAGAACACTTACTGCTAGCTCTTGAACAACTTGACCATCCGCACACCGCCCAGTCCATTAAGGCTTGTGTGGAAAAGTGCATGCAAGAATGGGGGATCCTAAATGAGAAAGTTCTCACTGTAATAACAGACAATGGTAGCAATATGGTGGCAGCATTCAAACATAGTGCTCCAGAAGATGAAGATTCCAGCTCCGATGATCCAGATGCATCCATCCTGAGTGAAAGTGATTCCAAGGAGACAGAAAACCTGCAGTGTGAAGACATAGGCATGTACAGGATGCCATGTGTCGTCCATATGCTGCAGCTTGTTGTCCACATGATAAACAAGGAGGAAAGCATCAACAGAGTCTTGCACAAAGTCCGATCAATCGTGAAAATTTTTCGCAAGTCATCAGTCGCAACACAGAAGATTTTGGATGAGTGCCGCCTAACTGTTGTGAATGACTGCCCCACACGCTGGTCAAGTACTTATGAAATGGTTGCACGTCTCCTCAAAGTTAAAGAATCTGTGAAGTAGCAAACAAGATGGGATGGGACTGCTTGCTCTCAAGTGAGTGGCAGAAGCTGAAGTCAATGCAAGAACTTTTGCAGCCTTTTGCTGAACACACACAAACTCTTCAGAGTGACACAATGTCTATGTCATTAATACTCCCTGCTCTCTTTGATTTACTCAGCCATCTGGCAGATGTGGAACAAAACACAAGTCGAGATGTTGCTGCTCTAGCACGTAAAATGGAAGGGAATGTGAACCAGCGTTTTGCCTGGGTACTTGATCCCTCAGATGACAAGTTTTCACCACTTGTAGCAGCTGCTTGCTTTCTCAATCCTACTGTGTGTCAGACCCTCCTCAATGTGGCTGATGATAACATTCAGGAGCTGCTCAAGCAGGCAGAAGGGTATGTTGTTCGGTGCTCTCAGACACAGGAGAACCACTCTGATCTGGAGGAACTGAATGGACCTGAACCGGCACCACCCGCCGCCGCCTCCTCTTCATCATCTGCCTCCTCCTCCTCCAGACAACCAGTCTTTAGGTTTCTCTCCAAATTCGGAACAAAGCCTAAACCAAAATCTTCCAAGTGTAGTGTTAGACAGCAGATAAGCCAGTATAAGGAAGAGCTCTCACAGTCCATCACTTGTGAAATGGGAATGGAGTTTTGGCTTGGAAAATGTGACACATTTTATCACAGCCTGAAACCATTAGCATTAGATACATTGGCAATGCCAGCTTCTCAATCTTTTGCAGAAAGAGTGTTCAGTATCACAGGTGACCTCACTAGAGGGAAAGGCAACCGAGCAAAGGTCACACTAGCATGAAGTGCTTTTCTCAAAATGAATCGCAGCAAATAAATATTCACACTGTTTGGTTGAGCCTGTGTTGTAACAAGTGAATATCTATAGACTCAGGGTTAACATGTTTAAATTTACTGTTCTTGTAAATTCTTGTTGTGCAATTGCTAAAAAGAGCACCTTTGTAATTTCCAGTGTGCTTTTTGTTTTTTATTAAACACGTAAGTGTTAAACATGTGAAGTGTTTTTTTTTATTCAAATATTCTATGTTCTTAGCTGTGTGTGCTATATCTGATCAGTGGTGGTTAAGAGTTTGGAACCTGTGTATTAAATTACACTAGTTTTTCCGTGCTTTATACAAAAGTAGGAAATTACTTCATTAGAAAAAATATATGCATTTTGTTGACTAAAATTGCTTATTTTTATAGACTAAAATTACTTGTTATTTTCGTCGACTAAAATGGGACTAAAACTAAAATAAATCTAATGACTAAAATTGGACTAAGACTAAAATTAATTTTTAGCCAAAAGACTAAGACAAAAATAAAATTAAAGTTTCCTGTCAAAATTAACACTGGGGCGACGGGGCATCATGCTCCAAACATTGAGCAAAAACCAATAAATCAAGTACTTGGACCAGAATGGCCGACTTCCTGTGCGACATTGACCTTGGCTCCAGGAGACTTTTTTGTAGGTCCCAAGGCACTACATTAGAGTACCAAATTTCGTAGTTCTCAATTAAAGCACGGCTTGGAGCTGACAATTTTAATGGTCCTAGGGGCCGCTATTTAAGAAAATAGGCCACGCTCACCAGATTTTCACATCAGATTTCTTGGGGGGCTGGACTAGGATCACTCACCAGAAGTTTTGTGGCGATATCTTTAGAAATGACTAAATGGGAGGCAAACGTATGGCCACGGCGGTACGCCTGACTTTGCCGTGCCGCCACAGTCCCGCCCTCTTTAAAAACTCCCATAAAGTGACGCCAAGAAACATCCACTTGTCTTGAGTTAACAGCTACAAATTTGTGGTGATTAAGTGAAATGGGGTGATTTGGGACCTATCACAGTGAAACTTGACCGTTTTGGCCCGAACGGGATGGGGCTTGTGTGAAGTCATCATTCGACCATTCAGTTTAGTTTGTGGCTGGATGTCGAATAACCACAACATTTTTTGTAACTCTATTCTAGAGCCCTGCACGGGCCTAAAATCTGAGCCCGTGTCCGGCTCGGCCCGAGGGGGTGGAGCCCCAGCCCGACCCGGCCCGAAAAGATTGTCAGGATTCTCTGGCCCGACCCCAGCCTGAGCCTGACTATTTTTTAACCAACTAAATGAAAACAAGGTGCGTCAATCCTGACCAATGTGTTAAAAGACGTGCAGAATCCGATCAATTTTTTGGCCCCTCAGCGTATACGAAAAGTCTGTTTTATTTTTTTCTATTTGATCACCCATCCCTTCTGAGCAATTTCCCACAACTTTCGAGATGATCGTGCGAAAAATTATCAAGTAAATCAATCAGAAGCGGACCCTAGAAACGGCCAAAACGGGGTCAAAATCATCACTTCAAACCAAAATGGCCGACTTCTTGTTTGATGTTGACCATGGTTGCAAGAGGCTTTTCTGTGCAGACTGTTGAGTACTACAAGTGTACAAAATTTCATAACTGTACAACAAACTAAGGTTTATGGAGGGGGTATTTTTCACATTCTAGGGGGTGCTGTGGAGCTAGTTTTATTGCGATTTTTTTGAGACCTCTAAAGGGACTTTACGGAGTTTTGAATTTTTATGCTTGCGATTGGCCCCTCAGGCCAAAAGCGTAATGGCAGCTTCAATAGTAGGCTCGTGCACGAGGCGCGCATGCTGTATGTGCACACTCCTTAACGAAAATAACAGCTGAGACAGTCCCTTGTGTGTGTGTGTGTGTGTGTGTGTGTGTGTGTGTGTGTGTGTGTGTGTGTGTGTGTGTGTGTGTGTGTGTGTGTGGCCCGGAGGACAGAGGACAGGAGAACGCGCAGCTAATTAATTAAATAATTTGGTTCTGTACCTTTCTCTTCAGCACAGCCGACAAAGGTTTAAGATGGGTCAGTTGTCCTCCATGCTCAGATCATTCCCTTCCCTTGCTTGAAAAATTGTTCCAAAATGAAAGTTGAACCCACATCTTTTTTATCTGTGAATTCAATGCCGTTCGGCGAGTCTTAAATAAAAATTGGGCATCTTACTGTAAAAAATATACCATTAATGTTAAAAAGAAACTCTAAATAAACTATGTTCACATCCAAAATCAAACCCAGGTCTACTGCACGAGAGTCCAACATCTTACCAGTTGAGCTAAAGCTCCAGTGATGTCCTTTGTATCTGTAACATTTATATCCTTGATGACAGCTGAAACAGCGTTCAAAGAATGATTCGGAGCGAAAATGGCTATTTTGTTGCTAATTTGCAGGAAATATCTAGAAGAAAGTTCTACAGAAAGTAGCTAAGGGTCCTCAGAAATGTAGCTATCTTTGTCACTAGGCGTTAGGAACAGCGACATAGTGGTACTGCCTCCCTCTCTGCTGCTATAGCTACAGATAGCAAATTCTACGGGCTATGCCTGAGCGTGAGCGCGCATGAAGCAGCCTGCTCGACCTGAGCAGCTCTCTTTTTCTGTGATTTTACAGAAAAACAGGCAACCACAGTAAAAATGCCAGGGCTCAATCTACAGGACCAGGGCATTGCAGGAGAATGTATGAAGAAGAAATTTATTATTTCTACACATGTTTTGGCTGTCAAACTTCCATAATGCCCCTTTAAATACGAAATTTTACACCACGCCTGAGCCTCCTGAGTTTTTGGGTAAGTTAAGGCCTCCAAAAAGCCATTTTATTTGGAGAAAGAAAAATAAACAGAGCAGATACAATAGGCCTTCGCAGCGCTTTCGCAGCTTCGGCTTAAAAATGGGTTGTCGGTGAACCACACCTTTATTCTGTTCACTGCTGTCCCAGAGTCAAAATGTCTCCACAGCCATGAGTGTTTAGAGAGCTTTCATATTCCACTTGCTTGTTTTTTTACTTAAATGTATAGGTGACACAAAAAAATGTGCTTTAGACCCCTCTTTTTTAGTTTTTGGTTGACTCATACATGTTTCACACATGTAAAGCTGCTGCCTTCACATAAGATATATATTTTAAAGCTTAATGAATTGAGTGGAGCTAACAAAAAAGCACAGTAACATATCAATTATAATAAATGAAACAAAAAAAAACTGAAGCTTATTGACTTCAAAACGGAAACGGAGTATGAACAAAGGAAATAGGTGAATGATGAATTCACTTATGTGACAAAACCAGCTCTTTTCTCTGCATCCCACTGCTTCCTGTCGTAAACTCACCCCGATGCTGTCCTCCTGCCTGTACTGTTTCCAGTTGTGTCCAGTGTCACTGAACATCAGCAGGTAAGTCGTCAACCAATCAGAGCTGCCGTAGCGGCCTTGTGTGGCGACAGCAGTGATCTTGGTCCGCTCGCCCAAGTCCACCTGGAGCCACTGGTACCTGTCTGAGGTGAGGGGAGACCAGCCTCCAGCTCCTGCAGAGAAAACGACAAAAAGATCATTTAGTTTTAACTTGTACGTCTGTTTTTCTGTTAGCTAAAGTCTTAGTTCCTGATTTATTTTGTATCTTATTAATTTGATTCCTGTTTCTGTAATGTGACCTGGTTTTGGTCTTCCGTCAGCACCTGCTGCGTGTGGGTCCATCCCAGCATAGATGTTTGATATATGTGTCTGTTTTTGTCCATCAGAGTTGGAGAATTTTCTGCTTAAATTAAAGTTCATAGTTTCTCTAACACACTTGTTTTCCTGCATTTGGGAATCTTTTCCTCCACCTTCCTCATTCCACAGGGATCATAAAGTCAGGTTACCGTAAATCCTCTAATACAGGCCCGGGCCTGTATTTGACTCAAGCTCATCAAGCTCCAGGCCTTTATTGGAAGGAGGGCCAGTATTAGAGGCAGGCCTCTATTTCTATTTAAGCAAAATGAACTAATGGTTCGCTGGAGTTTTTGACAATTAATATTGCGCCCACATTTTCAAAGTTAAACACATTTCTTTTAACAACGGTAGTTTCTGCTTCAGCCATCTCCCCCCTCCCCCTGCGCAGCGGCCGCAAACTCACTGATGCGCCTGCAGCCTCTCAGAGTTCCTGCTGCTCTAAACATTAAAATAATTATTTCATTTTCTGTTCCTCACTTCTGATTACCTTCAATGGTGTCTGTTTGTTGCAACCACCAGGTACAAAAACTAACTTGTTTTTATTCGACTATTTTTCTGTCCTGCCTGTTTATTATCTTCCTGCATCTCCTCTCAATCCTAAAGAAAAACTGCTACCTGGGTTCATATATATTCACCTTATGAGTTACCTTTGAACTGCAGTTCTAAAAGATCTACCGACCGCAAAAACAGTGGAGTGCTCGCTGCTTGCCGGCCGCATCAGTGATCGGTGCGTCACCAGATGACAAGTTGATGCGCCCCGCTCCACAGCGAAACGTATCAGGCGCAAATGAAAGACAGAAAACATTAAAGGAAATGAAATGACATGAACGATTGCGTGTTAAATTAGTTTTTGAGGTGGCGACACCTGATTGTTACTGTGGCCGTGCTCAGGAGGCAGATTACCGACCGCAAAAACAGCGGAGTGCTCGCTGCTTGCCGGCCGCATCAGTGATCTGTGCGTCGGAGGACAAGGTGATGCGCCCCGCTCCACAGCAGCGAAACACATCAGGCACAAATAAAAGACAGAAAACATTAAAGGAAATGAACCGACATGAACGATCGCGTGTCAGTGCCAATGCTCTGGCACAGCGCGTTGCCCCCCCGAGCGCAGGAGCTTGTCACCTGCTGACAGCAGGCTGCTGTCTTTTCCGAGGGCTGCATCTTGCCGGTCATTATCACGTGACAGCGACTAGTCGACGACAGGCATAAAAAGTCACTATAGTGAAGTCGACTAGTTCATACAACCCCCGCTACTGCTCCACAGAGTGTTCTGCAGCGCACGTCCTCTTTGAACTTGATATCAAATTTTCGCCTCCTCTTCGTCTCCGCACGGTTAAAGTTACCCTCTTGGTCTATCACTGGCAAATCAAAAGTGAGACGACGACACAATCGCCCCCCGTACTTGCTTGTTACCACATTCCACTCGGCCACAATAAGAGGCCGGCCATTATTCACCTCCGCCGACTCCGACACCGGCCAAAATTGAAGACCCGGCCTTTAATTGAATACTGGCCTGTATTTGAGGATTTACGGTAATTATAATTATAATGAATGTTCTTAATATTTTAAAAAGCAAAAATTTAAATGTCTGAAGATGCAAAATCTCCCCGGTCTCAGCACATAATGTGATTAATAATTAAATGTTGACCTCTTTTTATTTTATCTTTTAATGATACACACATTTTCCACATTTTAATCAACACAATATTAAAACAACTAAGTTTTTAATAAACCACTGAAGACAAAATAAATGTTATTTTTCAGGCCAAAACAGCATCATGCTTGAAAATCCTCTGGAGTCTGTTTTCAGTTTCTTCCACAGCTTTACTTCACATCTAAGAATAAAAACAAAACTTTTTAAAGTTGTGGAAACGGAACAACTGTTGCATGAGTTTGTCCATTTTAAAGAAAAACATGTAAAAAAGCAGCCTTTTGATTGGGAGAAAAGTACATTTACATATTTGCAATATTTTAAGCCTTCCATGAAAAACAACTTGAGCAGATCATAAGGTCCACGATAAGGTAAAACACCAGCAGTCACCCACAAAGCTTCCATCCAGTAACACGGTTTTATCATTTCTAGTGAAAATCAATGAGAAGATGTGGGACCAAGCACTGATTGTTTTCACCAAACATCTGCATCCTCGTCAGTAAAAGAGACGAGCTGTATTGCATCAACTCTCCTCTCTGCATCAACAGGCTGACCTGTTTCACCACAGATTATTTAAAAAAGCCATAAATGAGGAAAAATGTGTGAAAAAATTATGACCCAAAGAATTTTGACCCAAATGTGTCTCAGCAAAATCCCCACAAAGCCCCAATATGGAGGATGATGCGATAAATAATATATAATGCTGCATGGATGAAGTTTGATTAAGCAGTGTGTGTGCGTGCATGCGTGTTTTTAGTCATAATGCCTACAGATGTTAACAAAGGTGGGTACAAACAAATCTCGAAACGTGCTGCGGAATAAATCTTAAAATGCAGGCAGGTGATTTGTATGCATGCAAGTGTGTGTGTGTGTGTGTGTGTGTGTGTGTGTGTGTGTTTTGTCAGGCCAAAGCGATGGCACAGAGCTTAAACACCAGATGGACGGATTCTGAAGAAGGCTGTGGACCAGAAACCCACTGAGCATGCATGCACACACGCACACAGGTACCGCTTCTTTAGCACCACCCAACATTCTGACAACCTGCTGCCTCGTGAATGTGTGAACAGGCGTGACAGAAGCTTGCAGCACATTAACAGAAACCTGTCAGGAAACAAAACTGAAGCCGAGTGAAACTTTCCTCTGCAGATTCTTAAAATGGCGTTTTCATGTTTTAGGGAAACCTCTTGCTCAGAATTTCCTGCCTTTGTATTCTGATGTGTGCTGAATGTCAACATGACTCCCTCCAACTGAATAGCTGTAAATCTTACAGCATTGTGGGCAAGATTAGTTTATTAAAGGCACATTTGGCTGTTTTGGCTTGCTTTTAGCACCGCCTAGTGTTCATTTAGTGGAACCAAAAGTGAAACCTATTTCCTCGCTGTATTTTTCTTTCTAGCAACTTAATCTAACAGCTGAAATGCATCATCAGCCTTCATTCATTTCTACAGGAGCAGTTCATCACTAAATTAAACAAATCAGCTGTGGTTACCATCTAAAATGCAGGAAACGTGCTGGAAGCAGACTGCAGCGCCAGACATCTAGCGGCCCACCAGTCTGAAGGCGAAAGTGCAATATTCTGGCTGCAGGGGGTGGTGGGGGTCAGAGTGACTTTTCATTAACCAGGTAAGGGGTCATGTTAGCACACACTGGCTCAAGACAATGATTTAGAAATATGAAAAAGTTGTCTAGTCTGGTTTTAAAAGCAGTGCTGGTGGTTCCTTAAATAGTTAAAACAGAAATCCGAAGGCCAAAGTGCAGTGAAAGATATTTCACGTATGTCCAGTCAGTGGAAAAATGACCCAATACGACTCTTAGCCACAAGTCAAAATCTGACAAGTTAGAAAAGGCATTGTGTTTTATTTTACAGATCACTGAGATGCTGACTGTGTAATTCTAGCCTCATTGATAGTTTTTCTGTTGGTAGTAGAACCCGAGAAGGCGCTATACAAATACAAACCATTTACCTTTTTACAAGAAAAGACAGAAGCAACATTTTACAGCTCTGTAAAAGAGTTTATTCTCCTTCCTTGTTTGTAAAACCACTCGTCGCTTGTTTACTGATCCAGGGTTTTTCACCGTGTGTGTCATGTAAACCCAGAATGGCAACTAGTGGAGCGCCTCTTTACACCAACAGGGTTTAACTCTGATCGCTGTTTGCTGACAGACTGAAGAAGGGGAGCATAGCAGGGAAAATGAATCAGTGGCGGTCTGGTAGCTGATCTTTAAAGAGCTAAAGGCCAGAGCTAATAACCACTTGACTAAAAGACGTGTTCAGTGACAGCAGAGAAGAAAAGGCCAGACACTCTGACCTTTTCACATGGCGATTAGACTGTGGAGAAAAGAAGACAGAGATTAAAGAAAAACAACTCAGGGAATGAGAGGCGTACAAAGACTTACTGTGTCCCCGCTGTCAGAATAGCAGCCACTAATATAATGGAGGTGGGCTGCTGGAGGATGCTCTGAACACTTAAAGTCACGGCTGTCGCTTTAAATCAAACAGATATCTCTGGTTCCTTTTTCCCCCTCATGAGTCTGTCAAGGTAGAAGATCCAACCGCCCACAAGAGGAAGTGAAGATTAATGGAGGTTAGGAGTGTGGCATTTCTGCTCTGAATGTCAAATTGAAAATATCATTTTAGCTTGAAGGGGAAAAAAAATCTGTGTCCATCTTTTAAAGTGTTTGAGTTTCAAATCAAATTAAATTGAACTATTTAGCCTATTATGCTGACAGAAATCAAACAACTTCAAACCTTTTCTAACTTTTAATTGCCAGATTTTTACGTCTTACAGGAATGTGAATCATTTCAGCTGTCTGTGAAATAATAAGGGCATCTGCTGTACTTCATTGCTGCAGGAAGCATCTTCTGTTGAGCCTTTTGAAAATGGAGGTGATGTTGCTCTCCCACCTTAAGTCCTGGGAAACAATGGTTCTATGGAACTTGATGGTTTCGGAGCAGTTGGATGTGGTGAGGGGGGCGGTGCTGGTGGTTGTGTTAGGTCTCAGTCTTTAACTTGTTCACCTCCCAGATGTTCGGACTAAACTAAAGCTCCATGCCTTCAACTTCCCTGCAGACTCTTCATTGTCCTGGATGACATTAATAACTGTGATGTCCTCCTCAAACTTCAGGAGTTTGACCAGGGTATTTGCAGGGATCTCAAAATTAAA